GAGAAGAGGAGGCTGAGGGGAGACCTTATTGCTCTCTACAACTACCTGAAAGGAGGTTGTAGCGAGGTGGGGTCAGTCTGTTCTTCCTAGTAACAAGCAATAGAACACGGGGAAATGGCCTTAAGCTGCACCAGGGGAGGTTCAGGCTGGATATTAGGAAGGATTCCTTTACTGAAAGGGTTGTCAGGCATTGGAACAGCCTGACCAGGGAGGTGGTGGAGTCACTATCCCTGGAGGTATTTAAGAGATGGGTTGATGTTGTACTTAGGGACACGGTTTAGTGGTGTTGGTAGAGCTAGGACAAAGGTTGGACTCCATGATCTTGAAGGTCTCTTCCAACCAAAACTGTTCTATGATTCTAACTGCATGCTTGTGTTTCCACAAGCTGTGTTTCCAAGAAGTCAATATAACACTTCAAGTAGAGGACACAGTGTATTCTGCTACAAGCAACTGGACTTTTACTTCTGTCTTCGTACATGAGACCATAGCAGCTCATCCAGGTTTAACACTACCAACAGAGTTTCTTCCATGCATAAGCAAAGTGGGGCAGCTGCAACACCACCATGGCCTTGCTGCTTGCCACCCTGTGCTATAGCCTGGGAGAAACAAGTTGGCACCGTCATGAAGATGCAGCTGAGCTGTGCGAGTTGGCAATTATTCCTGTAGCAGAAACTGCATGGTCTCTCTCATGCCATCATCAGCTGCTGCTCTCATCCCCTCTCCTGTCTGCCCCTTCTGCAAAATCATGAGCAACCCAGTGCTTTTTTCTTTTCATTTTGTCCATACGGACGAGAAGCCTTGATCTAGGTCTGGCTGTAAGATGGTGCGTGTGACTGTTATTGCATAAGAAGGAAGTGAAGCAACCCAAAAGCAGAAATAACAGCTCTGTCCACAGGACTATTTCTTCAAACCATGTAATCTCCTAAAGCAACATTGCAAACGACCACTACCTTAGTTACACTCTTAATGTAAAGCCTAAGACTGTGAAAGGACAGAAATAGCTCTAATCGATTTTGTTCATCCGTGGAATACAAATAAATTTCAGTGTCCAGTTAAAGCTCAAGTAACTATGTCTTTCATTTTTAACTGGAATGGTACATACGTGCATTCCCAAATTTATATAGTCATTTGGTAACAGGTGAAAGAACAAGCCACACTAAAAATCCTATTTCTTGGTAAGAATGCCAAATATTGAGTATGCTAGACTCCTGTCTTCTTTTGATTGACAAGTCTTTGTAGAAAGGTAGTTCCTGCTCCTATGAATGAAGTCTGGTGGATAAGTCTATGAAGTTACCAGATTTTTTTTTTATAAATCCCAAAGGATTCCCTGCTGGCTTGAAAACAACAGCAATGATGAGTGATGCTGCATTTTTTTCTACAATAAGAATGTACTGTAGTCCACAGCTGGTATTGGAACAGGAAGCGACAGGACTATCTTAAAGTCAGTTTTCCCTGAACTAAATTCCAGGATTGCTGACAAGCTGGTATGTGACTATGACTTATATTTTCTTTGTAGAGACGTGATTCATGCTGTTCAAAAGGCTGCAAAGTTCCAGTTTATCTTGGTTTTAGTTCATATCCCATCACAGTTGTCTCACTGTATTGTTTATTTTACTAACTTCTTCCATGCCATTTTTATATGTAAAGTTCCATTCAAATATAAGCATATTCTCATGGAAACCATTCTTGTTCATTCAAAATAATTACTTTTAAAATCTACACAGTGCTGGTGAAATCAGAAATGTTGGATATGCATTTTGCAATAAAATTCATAATAGCTATTCACCTAACATGTTTCCCAAGTGATCACGGTGTTCAAGTGCAGCTGAACTCACATTCCCTTGTAGAAGAGTCTCAAGAGTTATTTGCTGGTTATCCTGCACCACCAGAATTGGACAACCTAGTAGGCTGCTCATCAATTGAACCATCTGAAACACACACAGCAGATACTGCAGAGTCACCATCTGGATGTTGCTGCCTGTCATATTTTCTCAGTGTTTTGGGTGGAGTTTTTATATTACTAGTTGAGGGATTTGGAATTCCAATCAGGAAATACTATTTATATCAGAGAGTATTCTCTTGAATCAAAAGAATAAATCCTGGAAATGATCTGTGTTCAGTCCCCTATGTTTCAGTCTACCGTTTCTGAATTTGGGATTGAATAATTTGGATGCTGCTTTGAGGTCAATGATTAATCAAGTCACTAGAGTGACACACAAGATTATGGTATCCATGTTGATTTGTCATTCCACACAAAGGATGAATATGGCACTCCTTGCCATAGCATGTGGGAACTTGGAACAAAAATTCAAATGGTAATGGTAACATCTACGCTGGTGTACCAAAACTCTCTGGATGAAAGAAGAATAAAGGAAAATGACAAAAAATATGTCTGAGAAAACTGCCTTTTGACATGTCCTGATCTCTCTGCACACAGAAATTTCAGTATTTCAGAAAATTTCCTAGATGACCAACTGTCATTTTTCCACCTCTTTACAGGGGTGTCTCCTCTGTTAGCTAATGGGGTTGCAGAAGACTCAAAGATGTCTCTGCCAGTTTTTCAACCCTGGTATTTCTCTGTGATTTGATAGAAGCCCTCTTAAAACGTGGATGTACTACTTAAACATTCTTGCTCCTATTCGCTTCCTCTTGCTGTATCTTGACACCACAAGTTTATGCAATACCATATCACAACTTGTAATGAAAAGAAGCAGTGACAGGAAACTACAAAAGCTACTGAACACTTCCCTCTCCTCATTTCTTCAGGTTTATAATTTTTTTTCATAACCATGAAAGATTGACTTATATGTGTGAACCTCTCTGTGGACATGATTTGTAAAGCTTCATCCCGTCACAATTTAGTTTATCCATGTCGTGCAAAGTGCTGCAGTGTTGAGCTATGCTAATAAAGAGTAAGCTGACTTGGGAATCAGAGCAGTAAAAAAGAAGTTATGTCAACTTGGAAAGCCCCATCAGACTTAGGGCTATCGTAGCTACAGTGCTTCTAATACTCAGCCATGCTTGCTTAAAACTACTTCAGGTATCTCTGCTCCTGAATGCATTGTTAAAGAGAAAGCACAGTCATTCTTAAAAGGTAACAAGCTCTTAGATACTCCACTTGTGTTACACATGATCAGTGATGAACAGTGAGCTGGTTTGGTCTTACAAGTTGGCTGCAGAAAAGAAACTTTATTATGCATTGCTCTGTTCCAGAAACAGCATGAGATATTTTTTCTCTGCTTCCCTAAATCTTGAAACTAAATGAAAATTAACTGGCCAAGGCTTGATCTGCATGAGGCTTGGGTAAAAACAGCTGTCAATGAGAAGCCCACAAGGAAATCAGTATTTGGGCCTATATAATACTACACTGTAAAATGAGACAGGTAGCTGTCTGCATCAGTTACAGGGAGAAATTAGGGGCTGGGAGGTTACAGCTGGAAATGTGGTACAAGCCCATGGAGGCAACAATTTCTGAGTTTACTTGACTGTAGGAATTACATCTGTGATTCATTACCTTCTGCTCAGGCTGCAGAAAGCCTACCCCTTCTGCACAATCAGGCAATCTGTTTGACATGTTAATGAATAGCACTTCTTTTTTCCAAGCTGAAAAAAACCTGATTCTAAATTTCAGTTTGGGATGTGGAAGGCTTCATTGAAACAGAATTTTGGCATAGCAAAGTTTACTAGGAAAGTGTGAGTGAGAGCTCTGTCTCAGGATAACCGTACACTCCAGGATATGGTGTCTAGTGAATTTACATGTTTTTAGGAAATACTGAAATTCAGAACTATGTTCCTAAAAAATGCTCTCCTCCTCCATAGTCTACATAAAACCATATAACATTGTCTTGTATTTTAGATTTCTTAAACACTCAAGAAAACACAGTGGCTAAGTGCCTCATTACAAATAACGTCATCTTTAGAGAAAGTAACATCTCCGGTCAGTTCAGCGAATTAGAGCGAAATCACTTGTGAAAGCATAACAGACAATAATTTCTGAATGGATTGTTCACTCAAGATAGCACTACATGCAAACCTGCCAAAGCTTATATATTTTATTTTGACCTGCTTTGTGAAAGATATTCAGAACAGAACAGCTGAATGTAATGTCAGCTCACTTTAGCAAGAGTAAGTGTTGCTTATTCAAATCATCTTTCTTTCTCCTGGTATGTTCTATTTATTCATTTGCTTCTTTGCGAAAGATTTAGAGGCACCAACTCCTTTGGAGAAAGTACATTTTGGACATTATTCATATGTACTTTGAAAATGTTTATCTCCAACCTTAAGGGGCACGTTACTCTTTGTAAACTGGAACTCATGAATATGTAACAGGATAAAGCTCCTCTGCTGTGGATTTAATTATATTTTTTCATTGCTAATATTTCTGCGTAACAACACATTGCTGTCGTCATTGCTGTTCAATCGATAATTAACAGGAAAAGGAAGAACTAAATTTCTCTGGTGTCAGTCTAGCACTTGAGATTTAGAACAGTAAATCCATGCTATGGTACTTCAAGTTCTGTTCAGAAATTGAACAATAACATCCTGTGTGTTGTAGAATATTACATGTAATCTGCCAGGTGATTCTTATAAAATAATGAAGCATGGGCTTCCTATAACCATTTCATTAAGAAGAACTACATTTTGGTCTTCTGTGAGAATTTCTGCCAGGTTGACACATGGGGAAAAAGCAGTAATGGTTCAGTTTACCTTCAATATTGCCTTTATTATTTTAGTGGTTGCTGGGATGTATTTCAGTTCCTCAGGAAGCATTTCTGTGTGGAAATAGTGAAATTATTTTAATGATAAGTTTGCAATGTCATGTTGTATGGACCCAGGATAAGCTACTTGACCCCAAGGGCAGGCAAAGAATGAACTGTGAGTGCCAAGGAGGAGGAAGAGTTTACTATTAGCTGATACCAAGAGCAATTTTCTCCTCTGCATTAATTCAGATTTGCCAGCCAATGTGGGAGCAAGCTGAATCAAGGATCTACTCATCCTTGCCGCTTTCTGGTCACAAGTTCTATGAAAACGGCAATGTGTACTAGTTCATGAGCTCTGCTCAGAGCTCTAATGCGAACAGCCCATATAAGGAAGCAAGAGGGTAACACCATTAAATTTCTCACTGATGTATGGCAATGAGGATCTTGTGTTTAGTAATCAGCAAATCTGAGTAGTTTGATTCTCTTAATTTCATGCATATCAATAGAACTATTTCCTACTGCACCATTTGCTGTATCCTCATCTGTGTTTATATTTTGGGACTTTCACCCTTTCTCTGAAGGCACGTTCTTATGGGTTCGGTAAGCACCAGTGGCTCTTGTATAATGGTTGCTGGATAATTTTTCCCTAAAAGTTCAACTTCCAATTTCTGTCCAACTTTGCTGAGTTCTGTGGGAACATATGCAAAAGCCAGACTCTGTTGAGCACTATAGCTGAAACTTCCAGATGTGGTGTTGCCAACAACCTGAAAAGAAAAACAAACATTTATTTTCAAGATGCAGCAAGGTTTTCTTAAAAAAAAAAAAAAAAAATCAACAGCCTAAACAACTATACATCTCATACATTGGTTTTGGTTTATACGCTTCAGATGTCAATCAAGTTTCAAGTGTGTCAAGCAGTTCATTATATTCTCTACTGTGGGTGACATCACCTTAAACTGGGTAGTTTTTGCTGCTTGAAAAAACAGTCTATTCCTATTGTGTTCAATTAAGTTTTCACCAGAACATATACCATACATATGCATATGTTTGTTATATACAATAATTTAACCTCTAGTGAGTGTTTCAACACATAATCTGTGCTGAAGTATGGAGGCCCAAACTTTGCTGTTGTTTGTTTTAAGTGAATAGCAAAAGTATTGCAAGGACAATGGTGAACTTGCAGAAGAAAAGAATGGATGACAATACTTTAGGCTGTTCCAACTCTAGTTTCTGTGACTTGATGCTATTTCACATTTTCTCTGTAGATAGTTAGTCTTTGCTTCCTGCTTAAAGATTAGAAAGTATTTATAAAATCTTCAAATCCTTCTGTGTCAGTAAAATAAAAATAGTGCATTCACACTTGAAACACAAAGTTAGATTCTGTTCATGAAGAATTAAGATTAGTTTCTTGTAACATGATCTAAAGTCCTTACCTTGCCATTGTGCCACACGCTTTCATTGCCTTCTGGATCAACATTATCTGTTTCCAGGGTGAGATATACTAGTCGTCGCCTGAGTCCCTTTTCTTTAATCTGCATCAGTGCTTGCTTTCCTGTAAAGTCTGCTGGCTGAAGAAATAGAAGATAATGATGATATATGGTTATTAGGGTTCCGCAAAAAGTTTAGAGATGAAAGCATTTAAATTTATCTTCATTTGTTTTGCTATCACCTAAGTATTCTGTATGAAATATAGATTAAATCAAGTCTTTGACAGATATTATATCTTGTATCTTGGTATTTGTACGTTGGTACATTATGCCTTGGTAACTTCATTCATTCTATTATTTTTTCTAGATCTCAGTCCTTTAACATCCGTAATTCCAAATGTAGTAGGAATACATATATAGTGAGACATGTTACAAGACTGTCTGCTTAATTAAGGCTGTGAGCCACAAGACTATATATCATCTCAGTCTCTACAAAAAACCCTGGAATTCCAATAGCCCGAACCTAAAGTCCAGGCCTCCCTGTGTGGACACACATCCTTTTTGATGCCATCACCAACCATGGTAATAACAAGTTACTACTCCACTTCGGTGTCTCTGCCATGCTGCAGAGCTGGCAGTTTACTCCATATTCTTGTTTTAAGGTATGTATGTTTTTTTCCCATATCTAGCATTTTATGAGATAATGCTGCATGTTAAAGAATAATACTATCATTTGGAGTTCCCTTTTTCTGCTTGCCTAGAAAGTAGCAAGCAGATTATTGTATTTCTTGGCGCAGACTGCATAAATTTGTGACAAGTAGGGGGGGAGCCATCTGTAAGTCTCTGAATCCTCGAGTATATAGGACAGTATTTGTTGCATCTGATAATGTTGAGCTGGTTCCACTGAGCTAGCCTGATTTCGTGGCCAGGTTCACAGATATGAGCTTGTTTTGCCTACCAGTAGCTGTGAAGCTGACTTGTCTCACACTGTTATCTCCTAGATCTTAAATGTAAGTCAGATGACTTCCTTATTTAGCTGGCTGTGTAGAGAATAAGTTGGAAAAAGAAGCCATAGAGAAAAGAGCTGTTAAGAACTTTATGGTCTGGGACAGAATGCCTCAAGAACCAAAAAAAAGCCCCTTTCAAAAATGCTGACAGGTAGGACAGAGGATAAAATAGTAATCAAGCTGGATATCATTATTTCTGATAACTGTGCAGGAAATATTAGGAACAGTGGCTTACAAATTCTGTCTATTCATTTTTTTCTTTAAATGTATAGATCAGGCAGAACAAAAGATTTATAGTCAACCAATTTTCCTGATCCACCTGCCCCATGGGCAAGAAACATAATGGCAGTTACAAGGTCCTCTAGCTTTCCAGCCTTTGCTGAGAAGATGACTAGCAGCAAAAGCTATTTTAAGGCGGTTGATCTTGGGTCTGAAGCAGGAATTATAATAATTTGGTGAGTGTTTAAGGGAAAAGAAGGGAAATATTGTTGAAGATGTCAAAAATACTATTTTTGGTAATGTTCTTTAGTTTCTGTAGAGAATTATTGCACAAGAAAACACATACTATACTTGGAATAGATTATTATGTGGTTAGTTCATGTGTTCTTATTTCTGTATTTCTTGTTCAGGTTCACATATGTGTATGTGTAGGCTCAAAAGAAATTATTAAAACGATGGGGAGTTTTTGAACTTTGAAAGATCAGATTCTGTGAGCAGGCATGGAAAACAACTTATGAACCAGTTAAGGACCAGTTTGTCTGAAAATCAAGTTGGACCAACTGAGGATAAAGAAGATACTGCACATAAAGATCACAGATGGCACTCTTTGAAGAAAGACAGCGTGAAATACAGCTCAGATCAGAAAAAAGAAAGGACTTTGAGGATACACTTTAGAATGTAACTATCAAGATGCTGCTGGAAAATATAAAGCAAAGATCTCAGACCAGAAATAACGACCTACTGGTAGTTCCCTCTTGCTTTTCATAGAATTACATTTCTACTATGCAGGAACATTTATGAAAGGAAATACCTACAAGTGGAAACGCAAATAAGACTGTATATCATAGCATGGCACACAGACTAAAATGCTTCGCATGACAGAGAGAAATACCAAGGAAGTAAGTATGCTACAGGTATGCTTAGCACTGAATCAACTCCTTCCTGTACATGCTCATGGAATATCTGGTATTTAGTCACAAGGAATGTATGCGTGGAACTAAACACAAGTATTCAAATGCAATGTTATATGCTCTAGGGCTTATGGACTAGCCTCCAGCTGCTGCTCTGGAAGAGGTATGGTCCCTCTGCCAACACACTGCAGATATTAGTGATACAGTAGGCATCTAAAACGGCTGTATGAATGTCTGTGAATTCCCATCTTTAGGTCTCTTAGTAATAAAAGAGTGGCAACAGAGAGGACTCTCTCAGAACCAGTTTCCAATAGCATTCTTCTGCTGTGCCCTTTTCCTCAGTTGAGTCACTATAAGTTTTGCAGAACTGTACTTGGTGACTTTGGGAATGTCATATCACAAAGCGCTGATGTAGCTACTGCTATACTAGGTGCACGGCTCCTTTTTTTCTGCTGTATTTGGACACTTGCAAGTACATAGAGAGATGAAAGCCTTATAAAACATTTATTATTTTCATGTTTGGGGTTGTTGTGGTTTGTTTTTTTTTTAAACTCAAGATTTCTGGTTAATTTTTACCTCTATTAATTCCTCATTTAGAAATGGAAAAACAGTTTCCATAAAGGTTAATGCAGCAGTCATAATCAGAGCCTTGAGTATCACCTGGTAACAGATGTGTACTGCTTTAATAGGTCCCTTCCAGATTAACTCTACAGATGATAGTTAGCTCCTGTTAAAATACTAATTACTGGGACCTTGAGGTTGACAGCAAAAATGATTTTGACTTCCATTTCTTAATTACCTTTTAGATATGGAAACCATTACAGCAAGCAGCTAGCAGGCTTTAGAATCTATGTATCTCTGGATCATTTTTTGCCTGTTGGTTACAGATATAAAATTAAATTCTTACCCAATTAATTGCAACTGGGCCAAGCTTTTGACCACCTGGAATAAACCACTACATAGTTCTTATGCTAAATGGAGATGGATTTGGGGGCTTTCATTTAATGGGTTTGTTTATTTTATGTTCATTGAAGATTCAGAATATTCTTGTCTTTTTGGAATCATGGCTTGGAAAAATTACCAAGAGGCAACATAGAATTTAAACTCTGCAAGATACACACACACACACACACATACATATATATGTATATACACATACACACACACACACACTTTGCAAAAATGTTTGTATATAAATGTAGATGTACATATATAAGTGCACACACATATATGAACCTATATGAAGACAGATAAAAATGTATGTGTGAAAACATGCATATATAATGTATAACTGCAAAAAATATGTGTATATATACATTTTTTAAATGTTTAAAGCAATTTCTTAAGAAATTCTAACCATACGAGTCTGACTAGTTCAGTCTTTTTGTTTTGCACTTCTTGGGTACCCATGCCAATTGTACACCAACACATTTACACTATTATTCATTCTTCATTTATGACTGTGTGTGCATGAGGTCGCTCATTCTTATCAAAACAGCATTTTGGAAAATAATGAATTCAACCTCAGGCTGGCTATTCTTGGTAACAACTGCTTCCTGTTTCTAGAAGAAAAATAGTCAGTTTGGGTATTACTTGTATTTGTTTTAGCTTGTCACACTAAATATAATGCAAGAAAAAAGTTCCATTCAAAAGAGTATAATTCAATAAATGAATATTTGAAAAAAAAACAAACCAGAAGAAAAATAACAGAAACAAGGGAACACCCTAGACAATTCCAACCTAAAACAAACAAAAATTTTAAAACTGCTTTTATTGTCTCATAGTTTTAAAAAAATAATCACTTTACATGTAGTAAAAATGTAAAACTTTTATGACTTAGAGCAAGGGCAGTCCTGATAAGCTAAGCCTAAAATACAGAAGACTTTCCACTATTTTGGCATGAGCTCCCAAAGCATTAAGCTTTGGCAAATGTAATGTTTTTCACATAAAATCAAAACGCTTCTTAGATACAAGACAAAGGCAATATCTATTCCTTAGCTTCATATTCTTTAATTTGAGTGCAGTTTACCAGAAAAACAAAAAGATGGATTGTGCTTTCTACTTGTGATACTTGATACACAGGTTATAATGGAAAAACATATCACAAAGACAAATCAGTTAAGTTTTTAAAATAGCATATAGCTAAAGAGAGCCCACTGATTATCTCATCTATTGACATATTGTACATACATATATGCCTTTCCCTTTTCCTTATCAGACTTTTATCTTGTGTAAGTTACTGTGTGTTTGCTAGCACATGATAAAACTCCTTTCTTTTGTTTTTAAAGAATTGAGGAGACAATAACCAATGAAGCGATTTTTTATGCACAGTGATGTACCCTGAAAAGTTTAACTTACTGTGTTTCAAGTGTGCTTGGCTTTTACTGCCATACAGATCCTAATTCTAATCCCTTGTAAAATTCTTTTTTGGCTTAAGGGAAGCAAATAAATTGAAATTATTTATAAAACTTTCAACAATTTTATTTTTTTAGATTGGGCAGTTTAGCAGAATAACATCTAGGTATCTAGGAAGAAAAATGTCATATCCATTCAATCATAAGTGGCAGCAAAGATATGCAAATCTCTTAAAAATGAAATGTCATTTATTTGGTGTGTTACTTATGACTGCACGCATACAGCCAAATTATGTACACAAAGCCACTCAACTGAGTAAGGCAGCACCAACAGCTGCTGCGATCTGCTGTAATCATCACGTTACAACACACTGGAGACAGCATCAATGCAGTATTTTGAAATTAATTATTCTTAGTTGGATGCTCTTGAATAATTTCAGGGTAACACTCCAAATGATACCCCCCTCACCAGGGTGGTAACTGAAGATCATTTTCCTCCGCAGGTAGCAAATATTTGACAAATTGCTTTTTCTGTAGCAAGCCAAAGCTACAGTTTGCACAGCACAAAACATTTTTCTAAGGGAGATGTGGCCAGTTAGTATGTATGGCACCAGCACCACTGCATCTTTCATTCAATCTACCTACGCCCT